TTGATCCATTCTCAGATTGGCGCTAACCAGGAATAAAACAATTCAATTGATGATTCAGGCGTGAGCATGATTAAAAGAAAAAAACTGAAACCAATTTTGAAAGGCCACATGATAAAGAAAACATCAGAAGACAAAAATGATATTACTATGAAATTAAATGGAGACGTAGTGACACGCATATGTGTCCATTAGCATACGGCAATGGCTTTATTTAATTCTTTTTTCAGGACAAAAGACACTAGTCTAATTTCCCATAAAATCTTGAAAAGTCTAGTTAGCAATGTGAAAAATATTTTCTACTGTCGTCCAATAGAAGTTTCAGCGGATCTAATTAATAACTCCACCCCCCCCCCCCCCCCTTTTAAGAAAGGGCGGCGGGGGGGGGCAATTGTTAAGTAGATCAAAATAACGCATTTTCGACCAATCAGATTGCAGCAATTTACATACAACGCACTAGTGCTATTTACTGCTTTTATTAATAGGGGTGGCAATTCTTAAGTAGGTACCAAAGGGAGGGCGATTGTTAAGTAGATCCGTTTCAGCCCCTTCCAGATCATTTAAGAGCTGAGGAGTTTTAAAATGTTGAAGACGAAAACAGTCAGCACTCGAAAAAAGCCATTTATTACGAGTATGCTATTCGACACACATGCCGGTCATCAATAAGTAAGACTTACCTTACAGGAACACTGCTGCTTCTGCCAGTGGATAGATCAGCAAATGATTTTTGCGTCATAAAGTAATGCTTTTTCCGAAAGCATTTGAAAACTGGTTTTCTATTCGAACTTTAAAGTAATTCAACGAAAAATAGTTTATTTCTTCGGTGGTACTGCTGTAAATTTGAACCGTACCGATTATCAGATCACACAATTCGATTAGAGACGAATAGCTTACAGGTTAATTTAGTGAAGATACAACAGATTAAGAACAAGAGCCATAGCAATATAGGAATTAGCCTCCACAGAACCGAACTGGCAAACAACCAAGCTACACGTGCAGTGCACTGGAACTCAAAGTGTTGCAACAAAAACTCAATCGAAGACCAGGAGGCTCAGACGAAGAGTAAACTTTATGAAAGCTTTGAAATATAATAAAATCTATTTAAATTGAAATGATTTAGCCGGCCCTACATAAATGACCTTAAAACGGGACCTTATTCCCAGTTATAACAAATACAGATTCAAATACGTTTCTGAGTAGCTTGTGACAAACTTTGATCAAAAAAGTACTTTTTCATTTAGATTTCTCCGTAAGATAATTTTTAAAGCAACAAAACAAAACTGCTCTATCAAAGCGACGCCCTGAATATTCTGACTATCCTGGCAATATTTGCAAGTTGTTTGAAGCAGCTTTTGATAAAAACACAAAATTTCATTATATAACAGTGAGATTGCAGGTGCGCCAAAGAATTCAAATTTCATGAGTTATAGGTTTAATATTGAGTAGTTAAATTTTTCGAGCTTAACTCACAATCTGCATTTTTAAATATTTTATGTTTAGGCGTTTAAAATTTTTAAAGCTTACTCGTAGATGTTTATATACGCAGTTTAGCTTAAAAAATTCAAAATAAGTGGCCTTAAAATAGTTTTCAAACATGCACTTTTCGAGTTAAGCTTGAAAAATAAAAAAAATTATTAAAATTAAAGTTATAACACAAGATAAATTGAAAACATCGCCTAACAAAATTTTAAAAAAGCACAAGTCACAATCGTACGCATAACTACAAACTTTTACTGTCAATTTTATTAAGTGCTATCCTATTGCACGGAAAACAGTTTAGTAGAAAAAAAAACGGACGAAAACGTCGACTTTCTGTATCTTTTGCCAACTTAGGAGAATATTCTAATGAGACAATTAAAATTTCTATGAGCTGTTGTTTGCAAACTAAGCAGAGGTTTCTCAAATCCTCCCTCATTTTAAGGGAAACCAATATGGGTTGCTACTAAAGAGAAAAACTTTTCCTGTACAGTGTCCCAAACGAAGTGAGTTTATTATTCAATTGTTATTTTAACTTGCTTCTGCATTCGAATAAATTCTTTCAACGTCCTCTCTTCAAGAACCATTATTGACATAATTTATTTAGACTTACTACAATTTTACATCAACCGAGAACGGATTTCTGAGTTACCCTTTTTGAAATTTTGCTGTTTGGTCTGAAACAGCTGTTTGTCTTCACCTGCAAAAAAACCTAACTGCAAAATTTTTTTCTTGAAAAGATAGCTAGCAAAAAAAAATGAAAACTTTCGAAACAATGGCTTCCAGCAACTTCACGATACTGTGAAAATTTTTTACAGATGATCAAAACTTCCACTTTTTACAATTAGGAAAACGCTTTTGTGTGAGGCATATTTTGGACTACATGACAACTTTTATAACGGGAGCAAAATATCCGAGCTACGCTTTCCACACTGCTAATTAAATCGATAAAAATCTGGACTGAAAATTTTTTTGGACTAAAAAGGCCAGTTTTCTCTATCTGCTGTACGTTTTCTCAGGAAGCGAGAAGTTTTTCTATTTTTTGATAATCATAAAAAAAACTCGTTGCGCAATGTGAAACATTCTGAGCAAGAAAAATGGTCTGAGCATATTGCGAAACTTCTGAAACTCAGATAAATCTTAAAATTTCACGCCTTTATTAAAATTCAACAAAAATAGTTAGAAATAGTCCGAGACAACTTAGCAAGTTCCAAAAATCAGACAAGGATACTTTCATACAAATGAGCTTTTATTATTTGCTCTCGTTTAATGTAAAAAAAATTTGTCTGAAATCCAAGCAATTTTTGACTAAATTGGTAATCCGCTAAAATAATGTTTTTAGAGAGTAATTTCTAGAATTACGTTATATGTTCTCACTAATAGAATTAATTTTAAACAAGTCTAGCGGAAGGACTTTCGAGAGCAAAATACATGAGTTAATTCTTCCTAAACTATAATTATATGGGTTGAAGAACTAGTTTGTTCTGGACTCAAAAGGCCAGTTTTCACCATTTGCCATAACAGGCGAGTATACTTATTCGATTAATCAAGCAAAAATATTAGTTATGCGACGTGAAACGTCCTCAGACAGCAAATTGACAAGCGCATAGTGATAAATTTCCTAAATTGAAGTAATTCTTGAAATTTCACGCCCTTTATAAACTCACAAAAAATGGTGAAAACTGGCATTATAAAACCCGGGCCAAACTAGAAAGTCACTGAAATAACTTTTTGGTACTTCCATAACAGTGAGCGCTGATCATTTGATCTCGTTCGATGTAATAATTTTTTAAATTTCAATCAGTTTTTGGTCAAAGAGATAATCCGCAAAATGGGGATTTCAGAGAGTAGAATTTACAGAAAAGCGAAGCGGAGCTTCGCACCACTTGCGATACAACATAATCATAAAAAAGCGCAAGTCCAAAAAATGAAAACACTGAAAAAAAACTATATGAACCAAAATTTTTGTATTTCTCGATGAAGGACACCTAGGGTTCAACTAAAGCTGGAAATATGGGTTTGATTTTTTTTTGAGTTTGTTATACTGATGCGGGACGAAATGCGTGTTTTCAGGAATTCGACTCTGAAGTGATTAAATCAAGGCTGAAAGGGCTTTAATATGATATATCAATCAAACCAGTAGTCCGATGATCACTTGTGGCACCTGATTTTGCGTGGAAAACAAAAAAATTAAACAAAAACTAAAACATACCCGAATACAAAGTTGCTCCCCATATTTCAAATGTTCTGAATAAAAACCAGTTTACATAAAAACCAGCTTACCGTGCCTTACATAAACCAAAAACCATTTTTTAACCCTAAACAATTTAGAATAATGATTAAAAATTGTTTTTAATTTTCAAGCCCGGGATATAAAAATAAAGACAAAAGAAACGTGCAAAGATTTCTACAAGCGCGACTTGAGAAGCTACTAAGTAGGCAGTTTGCCCTTCAAGTGGCGCCTCGTGAGCACTCGAATTCAGTTCAGCAAAGTTCACCTTTATTAAGTTTTTTCCTTGTAAAAATGAAAAACTCAATTTCCTATCAAACATTTTTAAGAACTCCAGATTCACGTAATGTTTTGTAGATGTTGAGTGCTCAGGACTGACTATCTGCAAACGGATTATTGATAAGAATTTTGTGCGCAAGGGCAGTTTGTCTTTTTGATGCAAAGCATGAATAAAAAGGTTCACCGTGAACCTTGTTATTCATGCTTTGCGTCAAAAAGACAAACTGCAGTTGCGCAATTAATTCTTTACAAAAATCCGTTTGCAAACTGTGAGGACTCAACATTTTCCCAAGCACTCAACATCTACAAAAAGTACATAGAAAAAATACCAGTGGTAACTTGAAAAAGGACAAGTCCTGGACGACCGCAAGCTGGAAAAATTGCCAAAGCATCGCAAGGGTCGCAAGCATACATAGAGAACCTTGAAATTTTGGTAAGAAAAAACGGAACTCGTCTCCCAAAAAACACTTCCAAAAGTATTACTGAGAGATAATGGAAGTATCATGCGTATAAAACTCAGAACTGGCTCGCTCGTGCTACTGGCGGCTCTAAACGAAGAATAAACTTGGGATCTGGCATGGTTTTAATTGAATAGTAAAATTTGTACACGAAATGTCAGCAGATACTACTCGCCCAAAAAACAACACTACAATTTTTATTAAGTAGTAGTTTCTAGGAGGAGAAAGTGAAGCTTAAGAATCGGGCAGCAGCTAACAAAACTGAAAAATTATTGGACCGTTTTTTGTTCTATGTGGACAGACTTTGTTATGATCAATGTGCGCTCAAAGTTTTCTTGAAGTCGGCCTAATAATTGAAAAGTCACTTCGAAATGAATTTTAGGGACACTGCTTTTCCCCGTCATTTTCTCTAGATCACTATAGAGCCTCTGCGTGAAAAACTATTAAAATCATTCATGGGAATTTGGAAAACGGTTGAGGTGATTACATGAAGAGAGGTTGAGGTGAAGGCGGTGAAATGAATGAGGTGAAGGCGGTGAAGTGAATTAGACGAAGCTGACCTGGTCTTGAGGAAGTCGAAGAAGTAGGGGAGGATGGAGAGGAAGTCGACGATGTTGAGCCACTTCTTCATGTAAGTGCACTTGTTCGGACAGGAGAGGAAGCGGAGGAGAAACTCCAGGGCGAACCAGATGACACAGCAGGTCTCCATGTAGAAGATGACCTCTATCGGCTCCCGCTCCTCCACCACTCTCCAAACAGTCTCGTTCCTCTCTGCCACCACACAAACCAATCATTTTCATTATTATAACAAGCATAGCCGGTTGCTGTGCAATTAGCACAGAATGTTCCGACCATAGTCTTAAAAAGTACAAAAAATTGTTTTCAACTTAGTGTGGCATTTTCTGGGTGGTGTGATAAAAAAGATCTGAACGAAAAATAGAAATTAAGCATGTTCGACCGTCATTGTAAAATAGGCCAATTGGAAAACAGTTTGTATGGGAAAAGACTAGAAAAAACGAGAAAAAAAAATCGTAAAAATACAAAAAATTTTGATTCCCAAAATGTCGCTAGGAAACTCCAAAAACTAGCTTTACTCAAGTGAAACTAAGTTTTTACGGCTTAAGCGTATATAAGCTATTGTAAGCCTGCACGCTCACCTAATTAGATCGAAATTAGACCAAAAATCGAAAATTTCAACCCGTTTTCTCGACAAAGAAAATTGTTTTAAAATTTTCTTATGTCGTTCGAATCACAACTGAATGGGTTTTAATATAATATATCACTCGACCCATTCCAATGATTATTTGTGGTACCTGATTATGCGTGGAAAACATAAAAAAAACTAAAACACCCGAATACAAATGGTCGGAACAATAACCAACTAGTAATCACTTTTTGGTTACTGCCATTCGCAGATGATCTATCAACAGAGGCAATCAGGATTGTTCTCCTAAAGATAATGCGTTTCTATCACGCCCTGACTCACGCATAAACAAATCGTTTACTCAAGTTAGTAGTTACTCAAGAGTAAAAGTACTCATTTCAACAGCTTGGTCGTTGGTAAAGACTTCTTATAAGAGATGATTTCAAACTCGAAGTCAGATGGTCACTTCATGATTACGAATTTGTTCATTCTGGATACAAGGACCGAACGCTAGAAAATTTTTCTTTCATTTTTTTAGAACATGACCAGAACTTTGACTGAGTTCTCGCCATTCTCTGTTTTCGTTCAGATTTTCAAATTGTGAATTTTGATTCAAATTGTGAATTTTTGTCATTCGGCTCTTCTGCCATAGGGATCCCCCTCCCCCCCCCCCCTCCCAATATCAACACTTGTCACAAAATGAGTTTGATTTTCTTGGTTTTATCGAAGTAAAAGTGAGGCAGAAGAGTGTGTGAGAGAAGAATGTCCCACGTTTCGCCCCACACACATTTCGCCCCTAATAATTTTTCACACATTTCGTCCTCGCACGTTTCGCCCCTAACTTATTACACAGTAAATTAACGTCGCTTTCTTAATGTACATTTTAGGGGCGAAATGTGCCAGTAATTTACGAGGGGCGAAATGTGGGAGGGGCGAAATGTGCCACTAGATTTGAGAGGGGCGAAACGTCTGAGGGGCGGAATGTGTGAACACCGCGAGAGACAGCTACTGGTACCTGGGTCGAAGTGGGAGGTGTTGTGGTATGTGGTCTTTCGGAATGAGTGGTGAGTCTCGAGACAGAAAATAGCGACTGAGATGAGGATTGTGAAGAGGGAAAACAGAGCGACTCCCTTGGCCAAGTTGGAGGAAATGGGATCGTCCATCACTGCCCATAACTCAACCATTGCCCGACGCCACTTCTTCCTATACGCACCCCCTCCCTTCTTCCCCTCCCCCTCCCCCTCCCCCTCTTCGCTGTTCAGCTCGTCCAGTCGGGGGTCCCTGTGGTCTTCCTCGTCCTCGGCGTCCAGGGTCTTGAGGGTGTTCTCGTTATCTGTGTGCTGCCTGCAAATACATCAGAAATTCTTTTTCATTAGAAGTAACCATGAATATAAGTTTTCAGTTAAGAACTAGAATTAATTGCACTAAATTCCAGTTTGAGTCAGAAAAAGATGACACACCTGGAAACTTATTGCAATTTAGTTCTACTTCTTAACTGAAAACTTTGCAACTTCTAACCCAATTTCACAACTTATGCCCTTCATGATAAGAAAGGCCATGGCTAGAAAGTCCATGACTAGAAAGTCCAGGACTAGAAAGGCCACGAATACGAAGGCACGAATAAAACGGCCATAACTAAAAGGCAATGACAATGCCCCTGTTCCTCCTGCTGCTGCTCGATCTCGTGTTACCTGTATATCATCCAGCAGCATGTCTCGAGGTGGGAATGGTCCAGACCCCAGAACTGGAGTTCACTGTCGAAAAGGGGCCAGCAGACATCACGAGGCACGTGTAGTTGTCCCGTCCTGAAAATAACACAAGCACAGTTGGCTGTTATTTATCACTATACTTGTTTAAGGCTCCGTTTGTTTCTTTCAGACTCTCATCGCAATTTGTTGACTGTTTTTGTTCCCCCCAACTGCAGGGGCGATGTGGGGGTAGGATTCGTTACCATGTTCATGATTCGTATAAAGTTGCTCGTTGAATTAGCCCTTAGGTATAGTAGAGGGGAGGGGAAATAGTTATTAAGATCTAATGCTTCTTTTTTATAAGATATTTTTAAAGGAAAAATATCAGCAGCCGTCTCTGTTCATTGCAAGCTTCAAAGAGTCTCAACTTGTTCAAATATAAGCAAGACATTTATTAATATCTGTTTTGGTGTGCTAAGGGGGTACTTGAGACGGGGCAGGTGTGGGCTCCTGCTCCTTTTCTTCCCATCTACTTATTTTTAAAAACAAATTTTTGTTCACATTGTGCGATTAATACGAAAATTGGCATAGGGACTAATTAGGCCATTTGAAACATATTTACTCTTCATATTTAACTTTGTAAGACTCTGGTTACACCATGAAACATGTGTGGGGTGGGGGGGGGGGGGGTGTGTTTGGTGTTACCTGTAGTAGTTGATGACATGTTCGAATAGTTCGGGGGACCTGTCGAAAAAGTACTGTCTGGAGGAGTGTTCATACTCGTCCGGGTGCAGTCTGTCGGCCGGCATCTGCATCAAGTAGAACAGTCGAGTGCCCGGCACCTGGGAGAGGGTGGAGCGGAACGAGTGGAATCGGACACCTCCTATGTTCAACACCACCCGCTCACGCGGCTCGGGGAAAATATTCCCGTCGAGGTCCACAGACGGAAGGTCCCCCACTCCTCTTCTGAACAAACAAATCCCAATAGTAAAAGAGCAACACTTCAGTTATCACAAATCAATCTAAATATTATGCTTGCACGAAAGTTTCCGCCTTATAAAAAAAAAACAGTCGCCTGCCATACAATAGCAGGTGATAGAATTGATATGGTGGAATATTCCATAGAAACACCAAATGCAAAAAATGCAATTATCTCAGCATCAAAAATGCAACCATTATGAAGCTGAATTTCAACCCACGCACGCTTGGATTTTTTACGTTTCGAATCGGATTAACTTCTGAATTGCATAATACTTTATTTTTGTGCCATTTGCACAATTCCTGACTGCTCGCGTTGCATGTGGGCTCTTCTGTCAAATGGAATCTGATGGTTTGTGCGAATAAAGTTCACCTACCCCATTAATGCATATAATACCAGAACAAAATTCAATGAAGGCGAAGCGTAACAATTACAGTCACGAGACAAACAAGTTGCAACTTCTTGTTTTGAACTGAGGAAACGTTGGCTTAAACTTTTTCAGTGGGCTGACGACCGCATAATCAGCTAAGGCATAAAAACGTCTCAATAGTCACAGCGGCTATGTCTGCTGTTTATGACGAGAAGCCTATTAATTACTCGGCTAATCCAATCTTTTTATTTCACCTTCCAAATTCATTAGATTCCCAACGAACAACGTTGACAGCAAGAATTCCTCTATAAGAAGACACGATTGCATGTCCAAAAACGCAAAAAAAACAAAGTTACGCAACCAAATATTTTTGAAGAGCTTTCTAGATACTCTTTTGGAACCCCTAGAGCTTTAAATCTTTTCTTTACATGTATACGAAAACAGCACAATTTGATCACAATTGAAATGGTTTGACCAAAATTATAAAGGCCAAAACGTAAATTGTTGAGCTTTTGTTAGAAACTTCACTGTTGATAAACCAAATTTACTGTTTTCTTACCTGAATATTCTAGTGAGTTTTCACATTATTTTATAAAAGTTTGTCAATTTGGCAACGCAACCTTCGATTCTATTCATTTTCGCGGAATTAAAAAAGTTCCAGAAACCAAAGATTAATGTTTCAACTCACAAGGACGTTACAAATTGAGTTTTTTAGGAGTAGAAGAATCGCTTTGGATTTAATTACATCGTTTTTGATAAATAAAGAGATCCAATTAAATTATGATTGTTATGATGAGTTTAAATTTTCTTACTTTTTGGTCATCTATTTGCGTTGTTTTTCAATATAAGTTGCAATTTATGAATAGCGTGACTGCAATTTATGCATAGCGTGACTGCAATTTTGAACAAAGATTTGAGAAAAAAATATAAGATGAAAAGTGGTGGATCAAAAAAGAACCGAAACTGTAGTTGATCCATTTTCAGATTGGCGCTAACCAGGAATAAAACAATTTAATTGATGATTCAGCCATGAACATGATTAAAAAAAAACTGAAAACTATTTTGAAAGGCCACATGATAAAGAAAACATCAAAAGACAAAAATGATATTACTATGAAATTAAAATGGAGACGTAGTGACACGCATATGTGTCCATTAGCATACGGCAATGGCTTTATTGTATTCTTTTTTTAGGACAAAGTCTGGTTAGCAATGTGAAAAATATTTTCTACAGTCGTCTAGTAGAAGTTTCAGAGGATCTACTTAACAACTGCCCCCCCCCCCCTTTTAAGAAAGGGTGGGGGGGGGGGGAGGGGTGGGGCAATTGTCAAGTAGATCAAAATAACTCATTTTCGACCAATCAGATTGCAGCAATTTACCAATTTACATAGAACGCACTAGTGCTATTTACTGCTTTTATTAATAGGGGTGGCAATTCTTAAGTAGGTACCAAAGGGAGGGCGATTGTTAAGTAGATCCGTTTCAGCCCCGTCCAGATCATTTAAGAGTTGAGGAGTTTTAAAATGTTGAAGACGAAAACAGTCAGCACTCGAAAAAAGCCATTTATTACGAGTATGCTAATCGACACACATGCCGGTCATCAATAAGTAAGACTTACCTTACAGGAACACTGCTGCTTCTGCCAGTGGAAAGATCAGGAAATGATTTTTGCGTCATAAAGTAATGCTTTTTCCGAAAGTATTTGAAAACTGGCTTTCTATTCGAACTTTAAAGTAATTCAACGAAAAATAGTTTATTTCTTCGGTGGTACTGCTGTAAATTTGAAGCGTACCGATTATCAGATCACACAATTCGATTAGAGACGAATAGCTTACAGGTTAATTTAGTGAAGATACAACAGATTAAGAACAAGAGCCATAGCAATATAGGAATTATCCTCCACAGATCCGAACTGGCAAACAACCAAGCTACACGTGCAGTGCACTGGAACTCAACGTGTTGCAACGAAACGCAATTGAAGACCAGGAGGCTCAGACGAAGAGTAAACTTTATGAAACTTTGAAATAGAATAAAATCTATTTAAATTGAAATGATTTAGCCGGCCCTACATAAATGACCTTAAAACGGGACCTAATTCCCAGTTATAACAAATACTGATTTAAATACGTTTCTGAGAAGCTTGTGACAAACTTTGATCGAAAAAGTACTTTTTCATTTAGATTTATCCGTAAGATAAATTTTAAAGCAACAAAACAAAACTGCTATCAAAGCGACGCCCTGAATATTCTGACTACCTTGGCAATATTTGCAAGTTGTTTGAAGCAGCTTTTGGTAAAAACACAAAATTTCATTATATAACAGTGAGGACTTGCAGGTGCGCCTAAGGATTCAAATTTTCATCAGTTATAGTTTTAATATTGACTATTTAACTTTTTCGAGCTTAACTCACAATATGTATTTTTAAATATTTTTTGTTTAACCGTTTAAAATTTTTAAAGCTAAACCGTAAATATTTAAATACGTTGGCAGTTTAGCTTAAAAAATTTGAAATAAATGACCTTAAAATAGTTTTCAAACATGCACTTTTCGAGTTAAGCTTGAAAAATAAAAAAATTATTATTAAAATTAGTTATAACACAAGATAAATTGAAAACATCGCCTAACAAAAATTTAAAAAAGCACAAGTCACAATCGTTCGCATAACTACAAACTTTTACTATCAATTTTATTAAGTGCTATCCTATTGCACAGAAAACAGTTTAGTAGAAAAAAAAACTGACGAAAACGTCGACTTTCTGTATCTTTTGCCAACTTAGGAGAATATTCTAATGAGACAATTAAAATTTCTATGAGCTGTTGTTTGCAAACTAAGCAGAGGTTTCTCAAATCCTCCCTCATTTTAAGGGAAACCAATATGGGTTGCTACTAAAGAGAAAAACTTTTCCTGTACAGTGTCCCAAACGAAGTGAGTTTATTATTCAATTGTTATTTTAACTTGCTTCTGCATTCGAATAAATTCTTTCAACGTCCTCTCTTCAAGAACCATTATTGACATAATTTATTTAGACTTACTACATTTTTTACATCAACCGAGAACGGATTTCTGAGTTACCCTTTTTGAAATTTTGCTGTTTGGTCTGAAACAGCTGTTTGTCTTCACCTGCAAAAAAGCCTAACTGCAAAATTTTTTTCTTGAAAAGATAGCTAGCAAAAAAAAAATGAAAACTTTCGAAACAATGGCTTCCAGCAATTTCACGATAATGTGAAAAGTTTTTACAGATGATCAAAACTTCCAATTTTTACAATTAGGAAAACGCTTTTGTTTGAGGCATATTTTGGACTACATGACAACTTTTTATAACGGGAGCAAAATATCCGAGCTACGCTTTCCACACTGCTAAGTAAATCGATAAAAATCTGGACTGAAAATTTCTTTTGGACTGAAAAGGCCAGTTTTCTCTATCTGCTGTACGTTTTCTCAGGAAGCGAGAACTTTTTCTATTTTTTGATAATCATAAAAAAAACTCGTTGCGCAATGTGAAACATTCTGAGCAAGAAAAATGGTCTGAGCATATTGCGAAACTTCTGAAACTCAGATAAATCTTAAAATTTCACGCCTTTATTAAAATTCAATAAAAATAGTTAGAAATAGTCCGATACAACTTAGCAAGTTCCAAAAATCAGACAAGGATACTTTCATACAAATGAGCTTTTATTATTTGCTCTCGTTCAATGTAAAAAAATTTGTCTGAAATCCAAGCAATTTTTGACCAAATTGGTAATCCGCGAAAATAATGTTTTTAGAGAGTAATTTCTAGAATTACGTTATATGTTCTCACTAATAGAATTAATTTTAAACAAGTCTAGCGGAAGGACTTTCGAGAGCAAAATACATGAGTTAATTCTTCCTAAACTATAATTATATGGGTTGAAGAAATACTAGTTTGTTCTGGACTCAAAAGGCCAGTTTTCACCATTTGCCATAACAGGCGAGTATACTTTTTCGATTAATTAAGCAAAAACATTAGTTATGCGACGTGAAACGTCCTCAAACAGCAAATTGACAAGCGCATAGTGACAAATTTCCTAAATTGAAGTAATTCTTGAAATTTCACGCCCTTTATAAACTCACAAAAAATGGTGAAAACTGGCATTATAAAACCCGGGCCAAACTAGAAAGTCACTGAAATAACTTTTTGATACTTTCATAACAGTGAGCGCTGATCATTTGATCTCGTTCGATGTAATAACTTTTTTAATTTCAATCAGTTTTTGGTCAAAGAGATAATCCGCAAAATGGGGATTTCAGAGAGTAGAATTTACAGAAAAGCGAAGCGGAGCTTCGCACCACTTGCGATACAACATAATCATAAAAAGCGCAAGTCCAAAAAATGAAAACATTGAAAAAAAACTATATGAACCAAAATTTTCGTATTTCTCGATGAAGGACACCTAGGGTTCAACTAAAGCTGGAAATACGGGTTTGATATTTTTTGAGTTTGTTATACTGATGCGGGACAAAATGCGTGTTTTCAGGAATTCGACTCTGCTCAAAACTTTAGTTGTTTCGCGCAACCGATTCTTTCTATAGAAATTTTCATCTCAGATTTGATAGGGTAGTTTTTAAGAAAATTCAAAAGTTTCTAAGAAACTGTCGAAGTTGAAAAACTTCGGTTTTCGAAATCCGTAACTGTTTTCTACTAAACGCAGGGTGTGGCCAGAAAAAAAAACATTAAAAAAATGGGCTTTCTCGATTGAAAACTTCACCTGAGAATTGCGATAACTTTCGAGTAGAGTAAAAAAAACTTCCAAAAAACGGTTGAAGTTTCAAAACTTTCACTCGTTTGAAGACCATACCTTTGTCTAAAAGAAACAAGGAGTAGCAAATTATGAAGGTAAGTTTCCGACAATCTGTTTTGTCGATAAAAACCTATAAAGCTATGATATCAGATAGGCAGAAGAGTTATCGAGAAAAGTCCAAAAAACGGTCAACAAATCAAAGTTGACATTTTCGAAAACTATAGCTTTTCAAAAAGTTTGGTCGTAGTCGCGTATGCAAAGGAGGCTCCCACAACCCGTTCTTTGGATTGATTCCAATATCTCAGATATGAGAGGTTATTTTTTGGTAAAATTCATAAAATTTAAGAAAAAATCAAAAATTTGACTATGGCGAGGGCATAAGGTTAAGTTTAAGAAGTTTTGCGCATGGCCACTTATAGTGGTAGCTTTTCAAATTTGTTTTACTCATTGAAACCAAAATCTCAGATTTGAAAGATAAGTTTTTGAGAAAATGAAAAATATATCGATCAAACATTGCCCCAACTGACTTTTTCGAAGGCTATACACATAGGGGTAAAGCAAAACAAAGCTCAGGAGAGTATGCAGGCACACAGAAATGAAGCCGGTCGTTCTATGGATGCCCCTTGTGTGAAAATTACAGGGAAGGGTTTTGAGGAAATACTAAATTTCCTGCAAAAAAAAAGATAAAATTTTCCAGAGCGCGTATCAAAAACAAAACAAAATTAAAAAACCCTATCCCATACACTTTTATAATACCTGTTTTATCAAACAAGAAATCTGTGCAAAGATGTCAAACCAGACATTTGAAATTCGAATTAGCAACTGAACAAAACCTACGAAGCGGAAACAAGGCCGCCAATCTTTGAGCAGACAACAGTTGAGGCGAAAAAAAAACAGATTTTATAAAACACTTTAAAAAGTTTCATTTCCCTCCTGAAACTACCCTGTAGTTTTTAGTATCCACCGAGTAGTTAAATTTGAATATTTATGAAATTGAGCATTTTATCTGCATGCGGATTCAACTGATTTTGTTTAACTAGTTGCTGAACCGAAAAAATTGTACATTCCGATTTGATAAAGCTTGCTAATCGCAAGCGTAAAAAATACGTTTCAGAAGTGAAATTTCAAAAAATCTAACAGAAAGTCTTTTCCTGTTTCTCAAAAAAGGGTTTTGCAAAATGTTCACACAACAAATATCGAAAGATTTTTTTATTTCTAAAATTGATTAATGCGTAATAAGTCTCGCTCGAAATAAATAAGCGAATTAATATTGGTCGCAACTTGCTCCAACTGCATAAATCTTGCTTGAAATTTTTGGTTAGTTTGAGCCAGCTGAAGTTGGCTTTTGATTTAGTGACCTGGTGAAGTTGAGATTGCGATCAAAATGAGGTCTCTTCTTCAGACGGAACCGTCTCGACTGGAACGCTTTTCTCTTCTGGCTACAAGAGTACGACAATTGATGTGGGTTATTCGTCGTCTTTAGCTGCACATTTCCCCCACCCCCTGTATCATTTAAGACAAGTGAGGTACAAGTATGAAAGATGGGTCCCCGTCATTTTCATTAAAAGCAAGGATGGAACTACTCAAGCTGTTTCAGCAGATGTTAGCCCCGACATAAAATGTTCTTCAAGGAGCCATCTATATATTTCGAAGACCCAACGATCATACTTGTTCCGTCAACTGAGTTATACTCCTCGTCATCATCCTCTTCTTCTTCTCTGGGGCAGGTGGTTCGGGGTAAGGCCACTGCGTGACGCGACACCATCGAAATATTGTACATTGTAAGCCCACTTTTCTGCTGCTCAACTCCCGATATTCACAAATATTTATTCGTTAATGTCTGTTTTTTTTCTGATTTTGAGTTGCACGCATAATTTTGCAAGTTTGGGTGAAGAATTTTTTTTTTAAATGATTTTGAAAGTTTGAACAATTGGACAGTTCTAATGACAATTCACAGTTTCAGCTCTGTTAGGCCAGACAATGTTATAAGATTTTGATTCTGCTCATGCTGAATTTATAAGAGTGATTTTTATTTTTCTCTGTTTATATTGTTTGAGTTTTGGTTATTAGCTGTATGGTCGTCAGTTTTCAAAATTACTCAAGAGTACACTCACAATGTGAGCTCATGTCCATTCAACGTACATACACACACATGCTTCTTAGATGGCATTTTTCAATTATGCGCTGACTGAGTCGTTTCAAAGTAGCAATCAGCCAAGCGCAGCACAGACAACAAAATTACTGCTTTCAATCACTAGCCAAAAGCTAAAGCTCATGTCAACCTTAGAGTAATTTGCGAGTTAAGTAAAGCTAAATTATCTGAAGGTTGTATTCTAAAACATTTAAGCGCAAAAGAACTTTCATGGTGCTTTTGTATGGCTTTTAGATTTGGAAGTGACAATGTTGACAAAAAAGTACGTGCATTTATTTGAAGATCGAGATGGAAGTTTTGCGTATCTTAAGTTAGACAAGGGAAGCAGAACCTTTTCGCGTTATTTCGCATAGGATGCAACAATTAAATTCATTAAAAAAGCTACGAAAAGAAAAAAAAAGCCGAAGGAAATAAGCCAAAGCTAAAAGCAAGCCTGAATTGACCAAGCTAAAAAAAAGTTTCCTTAACTCGCGAAAGTATGGGCCTACAAAAAATTGGTCAGGAGAGTCTGCACATAAAGTCACGAGAGTTTGGACATATGTTCGCGAAAGTCTAGAAAATGTATGTCCAGACGTTCGCGACTCTATATCCAGCTTTTCGCAAAAAAATTTTTGGTTTGTTTAGAATTTCACGACCCATGACACGACTTTTGCGAATTTCTAACCAGATTTTCAAATACTTTAGGTCTGGATCCGAATGCAGCGCGGCTTTCAAAGTCTGGATATGAGTCTGAGACCTCGACCCGGGCTAAAAGATTTGTTGATAATTTCCCCAATTTTACAATTTTCTACACAGAGGCGAAGCTGCGCTTCTAACCATCTACGATACAAAAATGAATGACTACAATTAAAATCATCAAAACAAATCAAATCAAAAAATTAACAAAAATACCTTCAAAAAATGTTATCAAAAACTGCTATTAAAAACTACCATTAAAAACTTTACAATGAGATTGCTTCCAAATTTATGAAATCGAGTTTTTATTATTATTGTTGTTTGAAACAAATAGCTTTTTCGATTGATTTGATGAATTTAAAATGCATCAATTATGTTAAGTTATTACTATTTGAATGTCGAAACACATGCTATCAATAAGCCCTAAAAGTGGCATCAATATTTGCGACTTAGGTTAGAAAAAAAAGAATAGTCGAAGAATAACACTAACGCTCACTAAAGTTCACTAGTGTAAAAATGCAGGACAATAAGAAAAAAAACAACTCAGTAAGCTTCAAAAAACAAAAAACAAGCTAGCTCCGACGGGATTTGCACTCCAACCTCCAGAGTTAGAGTTTAGCGTCTTTACAACTGCTCTATACCACATACTTGTCTCCCGCAAACCAGCCATCAACGACCCGAATGAAAAGTAGGCTTTTAGTCAAACAAAATTAGAATCATATCAGCACGCAGATACTGAAATGAAACTTTTTTGTTGAGCTCCAACTTATGCGAGTTAGATTGAACAATGTAAATTTGCAATATAACACAAGCTTTCAATGCTGGTAGATAAATAAACTCAGCAGCAAAAAAAAGTTGCAGTAACTTTGCAATTTCAAAAAGGGAAAACTAAAAACTAAACTTTTGTTAAGGTATGGAAACTCAAGGGGAAATGGCAATCAGTTACTGATAAAAATTACACAGAGGCAAATAATAGAGAGAACATGACAACAGCAGCTCTATAAAGTGCAATTAAAAGTAGAAATGAGCCTAGAATAAGTGAAAATTCGGCTAAGTCTCGGATTCGATCAGCGACCTACTGCGCCCTAGTTTATTTGATTCTCATGCACTAACGACTCAGGCATGGACGCTAATTTAATCATGAAGAATAGCCACAAATAAAGCAGAAAACAGATGCTATGAAAATTCCAATGCTACAGATCGTGTTTATAGCAAAAAGGGCCACAAATTGTGAACACTTTTATTTGAGTTGTAGGTTAGAAAAAAAAGAAGTTTCGTACTAATACACTACGCTGCTTGCTAGTGTATTGATAGAGAATTTTTTTAAAATGCAAGGTTTGAACACAGAGGCGAAGCTGTGCTTCGCAAACACTTGCGAGAACACGACCAAAAAGCAGCTCTATCAAGTCAATTTAGCAAAAACTCGGCTACGTGTCGGATTCTGCGACCTAGCAAATTTGAGTCTCACTAACTAACTACTCAGCCACGGATGCTTAAAATCCCCCAAAACCAGCCACCAATAACGCAGCTACATATATCGATAAATTCCCTATTCGATGCAGCAAAAGTAGCACCAAAGCCAAAAAGACACAACTTTGCAATGTAATAAATGGCAAAACATAAAGCCATATTGTGTAAATTACGCATTTCAAAAACTGCGAGATATATTGAGTTAGAAAATTTCTGAAATCGAGCTTTTATAATTGTGATGTTTGAAACAAATAGCTTTTTTCGGTTAATTTGATGAATTAAAAATGTATCAACTGTGTTAATTTATTACTATTCGAATGCCAAAAGACATGCTATCAAAAATTTGAAAAGGTTTTTCACCATTATTGGGGTACCGCACCATAAAAGTGCCGCACCAATATTTGCGACTTAGATTGGAGACAAAAATAAGGTTCGTACTAATACACCAACTTCGCAAGTGTAAAACACGGAGGCAAAGTTGCACTTCGCGTGCACGAGCAAAAATATGACCAATAACGCTACTGGGAAAAGCTGAATGAGTAAGACTTTGAGTCTACAAAATTTCATAAGTGACGTAAGCCAATTATGAGAACATAATTGCTAAGTGACGGAAGCCAATTAAGACGCATTAGCAGTACCAGTCAATTTGAAAAAAAATTACCATTTGACATGCCTCAATTTATAGAGCAGACGCATTTAAACTAGTATACGACAAGTTCATTGAAAACATCCGACCCTGCCCAGGTTCAAACCCTCTTATATTACTACTGGTCACCCTCCCTACCTCTACGCTACAGATCCATGATACTTGGAAACTTAAGCGCTATTTGTAATTAAATAGTCTATGCTAATATCCTTAGCATTGGCTGTACTTAATAGCTGGATCAAAGTGAACACTTTCAAAATGACACATTTTGTCGCAACAATTGCATCGCAACAATATTTGCGACTTAGGATGGAAAAAAAGAAAGTTCATACTATAACACAAGCTATGCTTGTGTAAACAGATACATTACAATGTCAAAACCAATTTTTCAAATTTGCACCAATTAACTGAGAATCAACCAAATGTTACGTTCAAAACATATATTGTTGGTTTCTCAACGATAACAGCGACCTTTGGGTTTATTTGATTTTAATTCGCTCAAGTCACGTCAGAATATTATCACGCAGCTTTTTTTAAACGTTTTTCAGAATCATGATTCGATAAGCTGTATACTTTTTCCATGATTCGCGGTGGATTTAAATAGTACAAACAGTTCATTACTTGCCTCGTATGAATCTCTCCTAAATGAATATTAAGTTTTTTGTTCTCACACTAATTTCTCATTTTCAAAGCGGCCAGGTAAAACGCTTAAAATCAATATTCGCAAAGTCAAATTTATAAGGCACCCAGGGGAGTGTTTGGGGAAAGGGCCTTCGCTAGCATCTCGCCTCAAAGCTTCGACTCCCTCATTACCCACAGTTTCCCAATTAGGTACTGTTTTTCAACAGATCTGATCTTCTTTTGTCAATCTTCTTTTTTATGTCAATAGGATTGATTTTCTGAGCTGTACCAAATCAGTAAAAACCCTATTTGACTAAATTGTTTGCGCAACAGGCCATATTTCGAAAAAAAGAGGTAAAAAAAGACGTTTATAGATTTTTTTGGCGCGCACTCCCCCTCAAAATTAGTATAATTTGGAGCCAAAGGCGCCCATAGAAAAATTTTAAGCTTTTTCAGCTAAAATGGATATTTCAAATATTAGTACCAAGGAGGGACCCTTTGGGTCGTCAGCGGGTTGAATTCCTTAGGGAAGCATCTGCCCCCCTCCCCTAAGCCCGCTACTGTTTTACAGCATTCATTTGAACGTGGAGCGAGCACCAAAAATCTTGATTTTTTGATTAAAACAATACTTTGCACAAAATTTTTTGGCAATCTAGGGTCTACAAGATTTTGGCAATCTAGGGTCTATATAGTGTTTTACGAAAACTTGGAAAATCACTTTGGTCGACATGATAAAAATGTTCAACAAATTTACCGTTTTTTTTTGTTGAAAATTCTCGCCATCGAGAAAGTACAATATCTGCTCCTGAAACACTAGCGTGCCGAGGGGGCGAGGGGCGCACTTCATTCTAAATCCCATTTTTACAAAAGGGTCCCCCACTGCGATATTGTTTGTTACAACTTTAATTTTGAGGGTCCGGCAGCTCAAGTTTTTTCGGAAGAGCATTCGGTGCCTCATCAAAGGGCAATATGCGCCTAATTATGACATGCATCCAAAATCAGTAGACTTATTAGTTGCAATTAACATACTTTTCAACTTATTTTTTTTACTTGAGACAAAGAAGAATCTAAGAAGAGTGGGTTGGGTGTTAATTTAAAGAGGAGATTCTCCGATCACGCATTATGAACACTGTTGTTGAGAATGATTGATGATTGTGTCTCACCTGTAGTAGTGTCTGGTGACAAGTTTGTCAGTTATGTTGGGGTAGTTACTGTCCACTCCGCCCCCACTACCACACCCACTGTTTCCTTTTCGAATCATAATGCCCCCCCTCTCTCTCTCTCTTCTCTGTTCTTCCAACAGTAGTCCTTCGCTGTCTCTAGAATTGTGACCAGGAAGGCCTCTTTTGCAAAGGGTTCACAAAGATCATTTCATCTCGGCCAATTGCAAAGGATCTAAATCTAACGTCTCCTAACTGGAGGTAGCGAAAAATGAACAATTTTTCAACCCAATTTCTGACCTTCTATCAAATAAATGTCTCATATTTGAGTCCTCCCATTTGAAGTGCAGCAA